CACAACAGCGCAGGCGCTAGTGGTGTTTCATTCCTGAATCAATCTTTGTTTGAAGGAATCAGTTAAGTGAATGATTCACTTTTGTTGTGTTACTTGGGCTAAGTTCCAGTTCGTTTTTATGCCCTTCCCTCTCTAACTTCCCTCCGTCTCGTTTACTCGGATGTACGTCATTGATTACATTGCATGAGTGCCCACTTCTGGCGGAACCTTTGCAATGGGCTGAACTGGAACGTCCTAAACCCTTGATCACTTAGAATCAGCTATGGAGTTGGTTTATTGTTTACAATTTTCCCCATGTTTGGTGCAGTATTCTGTATATGTTCTGTATGTGTATAGGTATGTTTGGGCTGATATAAACATTAATTAAAAAAAAGATATATTCTAGAGTTGTTTGGGGTGTGGATAAATTAAATGCAATCTGCGATGACGTCATAATCGTGTTGCATTGTGGTCTATGGAGCGGCCTGAAGTGTGCATATGAAGCAGACTCGCTCCCTCGGTCAAAATATAAGATAAACATGCTATTAATAAATCTCAAAACAATAGTTTGTTCAGTCCTTTTTTTGATTTACAGACTGAAGAATTTAGAGTAAAAGATGTTAATGCAATATATGAATTGGGCTTGGGCAAAGTGTTTAATCCAAAAATTGGTAATTAACACATTAAAACAATATAAGGATAAATGTCCAGATGAAAGTTGTATAATCCACAGTCTTCAATTTCTAGAATAGCGCATTTTCAGCATTTGTGTGTTCTCTGTGTAAACCGTTTCCTCTCTAGAAAAATGGCTATTGAAACTCTGCTGTGTGCTGTCTTAATGTCACACTGTTCATTTGCAGTGAGAGTACAGAAAGTAAAAGATAAATTACATTCATTAAGTAGACTAACTAGGAGGTTATTCATTAAAAAACAACAACAACAACAACACACATTCTAGCCTGTTGTAATAGAAGGGGGCAGCAAAAACTCACAAATTTGTTGAGAGTTTATATTTGTAAGATTTTTTTTTAACCTCCATCAACATATATAATCTTCACAATCATCTGTCTGTTTAATACAATTGTGTAGTTTATGCCCTGGCCTTAAGATAGGCATCAGAAAGGTTTTGGACTGTAAACAATATTGTTTTGGAAAGTGTATTTTCAGAGCCTCTTTGCTGCCATGATGCATACGCATAATGATACATTTACTGAGAGCTAATGTCTGTAAACAGCATTCTTGAATACACATAAAACCTCGAAGATAGCCAAGAGAATGGAGAAAGAGAACAGTAGAGTGGTTAAATATTTGAAGACAGGAACTGATTTCTTGTTGGCTGTGGGAACCTCTCTTCATTTTCAATGAGGTTGTACAAATACAGGCTGATTAAAGACCCTTATATAAGCCCAAAAGCCACATCAAGCCACACAATCAGACTGTAAGCTCAACACCAGGAAAAGTACAAGAGATAGAGCAGGTGTGTTAGTTGGGAACAGATACTGGCACCCATCTCTAAATCAGTGGACTGCTGCAGTGTTGATCCAGCCATCACAGGCTGCTGGGCTTTACATCGACATCATGTAGGAAAGGGGCAGGGCATCGGTGCAACCACTAGAAAGAGAGCCTTTCAGTCATTGTACCCTGAACCAGGGAGTTCATTGGTTAGCGTGTGCCAGCGCTCGATTTTCTTGTCCTTGTTTTTCAGACAGTCAAACCAGTGTTTTAGCCTCTCGCCATTGGCATTGATACCTAAAGAGACTCCACCTGGAGAAAGGGTGGAAAAGTTCATTAAAATGGCTAAAAACAACCAAAGGTCAATAGATCCCCATGGGACTTGGGCCTTGACTATAAGGATGACCTGCTCAAGAGAATTTCAGGTCTGTTGACAAAACTTTCCCAATTGGGTCAGCACTATATCTCTTACATCTTTTGATAATGTACATACATTTTTTGCAAACTTCAACATTTGGTTTTCAGTTACATTTGTTTGCTAATTCAGCTTCTCAACCTGTCAGTTTAAACTTGTTAGTTGGATAAACTCATCTAGCTGGCTGGACTGGTACAGATATGAGGTTTTGTCTAAATTGCAAGAATGGCTTGTGATAGTCTTGACATCAGTATGAATGGGTTGAAAATATCAAACCAGTAATGTTTTTCCTTTTATTTTCTATTTCACTTAAGTGTTTATAGCAAAATAATTTGGAGTTTTCTGTCCAATTACGGTAAATTATTATATTAGGAAATTATAGTAAATTGTCTTTGCAAATAAAATCTAATATTTTATGACAAAAAATATTTGTGTTATATTTATGCCCCAATTATGCCCCTTTTTACAAGATGTAATGAAAGTCTCAGTTGTCCCCAGAATGTGTCTGTGAAGTGTCAGCTCAAAATACCCCACACATCATTTATTTTATCATTTTGAAAATGGCTGTTTTGAGTGAAAGCAAAAAACATGCTGTTTTTGTGCTTGTATCTTTAAATGCAAATGAGCTGCTGTTCTTCGCCCACTTTTCCAGAATAGGGCTGTGCCTTTACATCTCGTACCTTGGATACTCTGCCAAAACAACGTTTTAAAGTCATATCAGTTTAAACTTCTGATATAGTGTTTTCTGAGCGCACACATCCGAAGCACGCGCACAAAAAGCAGACGTCACACAGCATGTGAGTACTAAACTAAGTTCTTTTTCATGTCTTATTGCGCTTAAGCGGTCAAATACACACAAGGTTATGTTAAAAAACACACAATTTACATAAGCCCAGTCAGTTGTCTGTCAACGTAAACAGCTGGGAAAGAAATCACAAGTTTATATTAGATCGGTGTATTAAGGTGGCTTTCACACTGGGCTCGTTTGCTGTGGTTCGAACCCGAGTGCGATTGTTTCCGGCACCCCCCGCAGCATTGGTCTGGTTTCACACTCTCTTGATTCTATCGAACCCTGGTGCATTTGCGATCATCGCAACGTTGAAGCTAACTACGTTTTTATAAGCAAAAAAAATGAGCGTTTAAGGACACAAAAGTAGAACGCAACGTGTCATATTACTCGAGAACTACGCCCACTGGAGGGAACATTCATTATTTTTAACCATGTCAAAGGATTATTTCACCACCTTATGTGAACCTGAGAGGAGTAGATATATTGAAAAACTAAATTTTATTGGTCTATGTCAGTGTCCCTTTTCCTTACCTTCCTTTGGTTGAAGAAATGATCCAACTGAATGGCCCAACGTGAAATACCCTGACATCTACAACTATTTGATCGAATCACCAGGTAACAGCATCATTTAATCTACCTAACAAAGATCAAAACACATAGCTTAGATAGCTTCAACCCTTAACTTATGTAATAATAATCACAACACATAGCCTCAGCTTTATGAAAGTTAGCGGGAAGCAGGGGTGCAGTTGATTACTATAATGATGGGACAAGTTAGCTATTAGAAAGCTTATGTTAGCTATGTGTGTTAGCAAGCTGTAGCTTGGGCCAATTGGTATTCGTCCACTTTGATATTTACTATTTAAAGGGGTAATATGACGTTGCTAAAAAAGAACATTATTTTGTGTATTTGGTGTAATGAAATGTGTTTATGCGGTTTAAGGTCCAAAGAACACATTATTTTCCACATACTGTACATTATTGTTTCTCCTCTATGCCCCGCCTTTCTGAAATGCGTCGATTTTTACAAAGCTCATCGTTTTGAAAAGCGAGGT